GAGGGGGGGGTCTGCTGTGCCCACTGTGTCACCCCACAGCACGGCACCCACCCTGGGGGCACCCGCTCCATGGACACCCAGCCCCAAGGACACCCAGCCCCGGAGACACCCACCTTGAAGACACCCAGCTCCAAGGAGAGCCATCATAGGGACACCCACCCCAGGGACACCCACCTTGAGGGCACCCCACTCCATGGACACCCAACCCCAAGGACACCCACCCCAGCGGACGCCCACCTTGAGGACACCCAACTCCAAGGAGAGCCATCATGGGGGCACCCACCTCAGGGACACCCACCCTGGAGGGACCCAACCCCATGTAGAGCCATCACGGGGACACCCAACTTGAGGGCACCCACCTTGAGGGCATCCACTCCATGGACACCCAGCCCCAAGGACACCCACCCGGGGAACACTCACCTTGAGGACGCCCAACCCCAAGAAGAGCCATCATGGGGACACCAACCCCAAGGGACACCCACCTTGAGGGCACCCACTCCGTGGACACCCAGCCCCAAGGACACCCACCCCAGGGGACACCCGCTTTGAAGACACCCAACCCAAGGAGAGCCATCATGGGGGCACCCAACCCTGAGGACAGCCACCTTGAGGACATCCAACCCCAAGGAGAGCCATCATGGGGGACCCACCTCAGGGACACCCACCCTGGAGGGACCCAACCCCATGTAGAGCCATCATGGGGACACCCACCTCCGGGGACACCCACCTTGAGGGCACCCACTCCATGGACACCCAACCCCAAAGACACCCACTTTGAGGGCACCCACTCCATGGACACCCAACCCCAAGGACACCCACCCAGGGGACACCCACCCCCAAGGACAGCCATCATGGGGACACCCAACCCCAAGGAGACCCATCATAGAGACGCCCACCCCGGCAGCACCCACCCTGGGGGCACCCACACACGAGTGATGGACCTCTCATGGGCACCCCAGGACCCCCCACCCAACCCCAGCCCCACCACGGCCGGTACCTGGGCAGGGTTCGGTGCCACACACCATCACCCCGGCGGTGCAGGTGCTGCAAGAGATGGGGGGGCAGGTCAGTGTGGGTGGTGGGACCCTGGTGGGGACCCCCGGGTGGCACCGGGGTGACCTCAGCCCCACCAGTTGTTGCAGGCGTCGATGGCGGTGGTGTCCCCGGGCTGGTAGAGGTGGCCCCGGTAGTGGCAGGGGCAGCGGTGGGGTGGCACGCAGGTCTGGTTGTGCAGCAGGAGCCCGGGCGGGCAGGCGCAGCCGTCGTGGCACAGCGCGGCACACTCCACACCCGCCCCCAGGTCCTGGCACAGCCGCGGGCACGGACCCCCACCGCCACGGCACTCCTCCGCCGTCCGGTAAACCATGTCCGCCGGGCACCGCGCTGCAAGGAGAGAGGGCAAAGGGGGTGGGCATCGGCCACCACCAGTGATGCTGGTGACCAGGACTGGGCATTGGCCACCACCAGCGCTGCTGGGCACTGGGACTGGGCATTGACCACCCTGGCACCGCTGGGCACCAGGACATCAGCCACCACCGGTGATGCCAGTCACCGGGCCTGGGCATTGGCCACCGTGGCACTGCTGGGCACCAGGACTGGGCATTGGCCACCACCGGTGACCCTGGGCACCAGGAGTGAGCACTGGCCACCACCACCACTGCTGGGCACTGGGACTGGGCATTGGTCACCACTGGTGGCTGCCAGTCACCGGGACTGGGCATTGGCCACCACCAGTGCTACTGGTCACCGGGACTGGGCATTGTCCACCACCAGCGCTACTGGGCCACTGTTCCTGGCACCGAGCACCCACCTCGGCAGGGCTGGGTGTTGCAGTCCCGTGTCTGGAGGCGGGGGCCGGTGCAGTTGCCCCCCCCCGGTGCCCGGCTGGCACAGTCCCGGTGCCGGCGCTGCTCGCCGGAGCCGCAGGGTGCGGAGCACTCGCCCCACGGCGTCCAGGGGCTCCAGCCGGGGCTGGGCTCTGCTGGGGACAGATGGACACGTGGCACTCAGGGGGGCCACCGTGGCAGCAGGACCCCCAGGATGGCCCCCACCACCACCGGGGCCACCACAGGGCTGGGTGGGCACCTACCGGTGCCGCAGGGCTGGTGGCACTCCCGCACCTCCCGGGACGCCCCGGTGCAGGGGGCTCCGCCGGTGGCTGCCGCGGGGTTGGAGGGCGACCTGCGAGAAGGTGCCACATGGACCACCTCATCCGTGGGGCACCGCGTGGCACCGTGGGGCAGGGACCCCCTCCCCAGCCCCACACCTGAACCTCTCCTGCGTCCCCGCGCCGCAGCCGCCGTCGCAGTGGGTCCAGGGTGACCAGGAGGACCAGCCGCAGTCGGTGGCACAAGCCACGTCCTGGCACGTCACCCTCCCGTCCCGGCACACGCTGGGGACGGGCACCGGGGTCAGTCACGAGGAGGGGGGGGGGGGGGGGGGGGGGGGTCGCGGTGTCGGTGCTCACCACCGCCGGCAGCCCCACATGAAGTCCTGGCCAGGGGGCCGCTGTCCCCCAGGGAGGTGGCACCGGCACCCGCTGGCGTTGACGCAGCCGCCGTCCTGCAGGTAGAGCCCCGGCGGGCACCGGCACCCTGCCCGGGGGGTGCCATCAGCACCGGCAGCACCGGCACCCCCCCCCCGCCCCCCCACCCCCCC